GGGGGGGGGGGGGGGGGGGCTACACCTGAAGGCTATCTCGCTTATTACTTTACTGAATTTTACCAAATATCACTCATATAACAAGCATAGTAAGGAGTCCTAAAATCCGCTTTCAAATTTGAGAAAAAGTTTCGTTTCCATGGATACAGCGGCCATGTTGGATTTTGTTGACATGTCTTACGTAATAATACCGCACTTATCGCTCATGGAAATTGATTGTTGTTTTGCATGCGTGTTCACAAACATTAGATCTAAAAATTTGTCTGTTTTTTTTCTTTCCTAAACGAATTAGAAAATTTTTAATGAATTTTTTCCTGTGGTAGTATTTTAGTTTGCGAAAAATCCGTGAAAATCCACACTCCAGACACCACCAACAAAAATCTATTACATATATAAAAAATTAAACAGACACATTTTTAGTATTACTTCTTCTCTTCATTCTGTGAAAATTTCATGAAGATTGGATGAAAAAATGGTGGAGTTATTTTTTAAAAAGTATAGAGAAAATTCGCGTTTTGAGAAAATGGCCGATAAAGAAAAATAAAATACTGACTTTATGAGGAAATGGCGGTTACAAACTTGCACGGTATGGGGAAAAATACGGTTTTTTGGGGGGTTCTTATGCGATGAAATAGGAAGTTGTAGGAGAGGCTGAGGAAGCTAAAAATGCCTACGACTCAAATTCCATAATTTTGAGCCGAATTTTGACTTTGGTGGTGTAACCCCCCAACCCCCTTAAAAAAACCAAATTGGAACTGAGCGAAATGAAAACACAGACGACAACAAATCTATTGCCCCCCCCCCTTTTCCGTCTTTTTTACATTTAAAGAAAAAGAAACGGTATTAAGAGCTTAGTGCACACATGTAGAAACCAATGAAAGTTAGACTTTTTGGAAAATTTTTCGAAAAACGTAAAAATGACTGCAATAAACAATCTTGTTTTGCTGGTCTTGTACCCAAAACCCATAATTTCAGTTGCCAAGCTATCAGGGAACGGGACATCCAGTTATGTCGCCAGCGCAGCAACAGAAAGAGATAACAAAGGCAGTCAAACAACAACAACAACAACAACAACAACAACAACAACAACAACAAAACACGTCGGAAAAAGATAACCACCTCTCTTTTTAATCTGTGTCATTTTTTTATGAGAAGAATCAATAAAACTGCCGGTGAAGCATCCGTTTTACGACGGAATAAAAACGTTACAAAGAGATTACTGTGTTCTTTCAAGAAATCTGTTGCTTCCCCCGAGAGCAAAGCAAGTCTCTGCTGTGATGTGTCTTTGCTTCGTCAAGAAGTAATTACTTATTTATATGAAAACAACTAGCACGTCCAATGATTTCCTCTCCAATCTCCCCCACCCCTTTCCTGAGTACTTAGTGGGATTGTCATTGTGTGTCCCGAGAGGGCAGATATGTCAAAAAATACGCAATCAACAGCTAGACATGTTGGTTTTGTTACTTCTTCGCTGGTTTTGAATTTTACCCCCCCCCCCCCCTTTCTAATCCCCTTTCGCTCCCCCCCCTCTCTCTCTCTCTCTCTCTCTCTCTCTCTCTCTTACTCTCTCTCTCTCTCTTTCTCTCGTTCTCTCTTCTCTCTGTCTCCATCTTTCTCTCTCCCTCTCTCTCTGATGCTGTCTCTGTCCCACTGCAACTCTCTCTCTCTCTCTCTCTCTCTCTCTCTCTTTCTCTCTCTCTCTCTCTCTCTCTCTCTCTCTCTCTCTCTCTCTCTCTCTGTGTGTGTGTGTGAGTCCCTCTATCTTTTTATTGGATGCGCTGTCTGTTCGATCAAGAAAAGCAGTTTGTCAGGCCTTGCTACTTGATGTCGGGTTGTTGGTTAAAACCAGTGGCGTAGAATGAAACCCGAGAGAGAGAGAGAGAGAGAGAGAGAGAGAGAGAGAGAGAGAGAGAGAGAGAGAGAGAGAGAGAGAGAGAAAGGGAGAGTTAGACATAGGATGGGAGAAAGAACGAAAGAAACAGAAAAAAGAATGCAGGCAGACGTAGTAACTCAGGCAGATAAAATAGATAGATAGATAGATAGATAGATAGAAAGATAGATAGATAGATAGATAGATATATATATATATGCATAGATACAATTGTACATAGATAGTACAGTACTACTCACTTTGTTGGCCAGGTGTACATCAGCGTTGCACCTGAGGAAAGCCTCCACCACGTCATAGTCCGGACTACCAGCCTTCAGGTAGCACAACAGAGGCGTGTTCCCTTCCTGAAATACGCCAACACAAACACACACACAGTTACACACTCCAGAACCAACTGAGTGGGTTATAGTTGAGGTTGGAACAAAAGAGAAGCAGGTCAGGAAGATAGGTTCAAGTAGTGCTTCTAGGAAAAAAGTCAAGACTAAATAAATATTGTGAAGCAGCGTGGTGGAATCAGGCTCTCGTCAGTTTTTGGGCATGTAGAGTTATTGGTATCATCTTAAAGATTGTTCACTGGTCTTTATTTCGATGAAAAAAGTATCCATCTATCTTGAATACCAGTCGAGATATTTACGAAAGAAGGAGGTGGGGGTCACCTGTTTTCAGATGTAAAATTAGTGAGAAAATGGCCGCCAAAGATTAGTTATAGTAGTCCTTGGTTATTTCCCTAGCTTAAGAGTCCCTGTTAACTGAAAATTTACATTTTTTGTGTCTTTAATCAACGTTTTTCAGAAAAATCAAGACAGAAATGAGTTTTTTAATAGGCATGAAAGGTGTTGAGCCAAAAATACATAAATTTGAGAAAAATTCACCAACCTGCGGAAAAATGCAAGTTTCTTCACTTTGATTAACAGGAAGGCCAGAAAGAAAGTTGGGAAAAGACGAGTACAACCTGAACAAAACATAACAAAACAAAAATAATTTAAAAACTCAAGAAAGAATTAACAAACAAATAAACAGATAAACAAACAAACAAACAAACAAACGAAAACCAGCTAACAAAACAGAGTGGATGTTGGGGCGCTCATATTATGACCTTATGCATTTGCAAGAGCCGTAAAACCTCTACTAAAACAGAGAGTGGATGTCGTCGTTGGAGAGTTACACAGAACAACTGGGTTTGGGAAAATCTGTCACGCGTTTCGGCAATTTTTGACTCGTTGTCTGTTTATGGCAGCTATAAGATCAATCCATCAATCCTCGTTTGGTTGTGGTCTAGACGGTCAGAGATAGTATAAAGAAAGTATAGGTTGTGGTCTAGACGGTCAGAGATAGTATAAGAAAGTATAGGTTGTGGTACAGACACGGTATTGTATGATGCCATAGGGATTTATCAACCTTTTAAACACATTCAATTTGTGAGGCAGCGTGGTGGAATCAGGTTCTCGTCAATTTTGGGGCATGTAGGGTTATTGGTATCATCTTGAAGCTTGTTCATTTGTCTTTATTAGTATAAAAATATTATCCATTTATCTTGAATGCACGTCGGGATATTTGTGAATGCAGGAGGTGGGGGTCACCTGTTTTCAGAGGTAAAATTAGTGAGAAAATGGCCGCCAAAGATTAGTTATTTCCTTAGCTTAAGAGTCCGTGGTAACTGAAAATCTACATATCTTGTGCCTTAAATCAACGGGTTTTCAGACAAATCCACACACAAATGAGTTCTTTAATGGGAATGAAAGTTTTTGAGCCAAAAACAAAAAATTTGAAAAAAATTCCCAAACCTGCGGAAAAATGCAAGTTTCTTCACTTTGATTATTTTGACGAGAGCCTGATTCCACCACGCTGACTCACATTTAATTAAGGAAGAGGATATCCGCTATAATGGTCATTTACAGATGATAACTTTGGAAGGAGGCCACGACAGCACCTAAAAATAACAACCCTTGTTAAAACTTGATTGGCCACGGGAGTATTCCAATCAGGACATCTTGTGTCCAAATCAATCCTGACGTTAACGACAGTTGATCCCAGATGTATAAATTGATTGACGAAACAGAAATGATGGATTCGCCAACTAGGGAAACAAAAGGAACAAACGATGGGTTTGATCCAAGATTGCCTTTGAGGCAATTAGCTTGCCTAATATACCCAAGCTGATCATTTATTACCTTGGAAAGTGATGAGTTATAGGGCGGGAGATGTGGGGGCGGGGGAGGGGGGCGTGGTTGAGTAAAAAGAGAGTGAGGATGGAAGTGCATGGAATTTGACGGACGGGACTTGACACAATTGTCAGAAGATGGGAGCAACGAAAGGAAATCTGAGACTTGATCTCCAACATGGGATTGTTACTGGTTGATTGACTGTCCCTCTCTTATGCACACTCGACATTCTTGAGGTCCTTTCGTAAGCTGGCTGCTTCAGCTCTGATAGCAAGGGCCAGTGGGATGCATTCTTCTGGCATTAGAGACAGTTATTTGATTAAATAAGCTTTCTTTTATGTTTCATTTCTATACTGGTAACCCAACCAAATCTAGGCCCCAAGTACGTTTTTTAACATACCAATTTGCCAAAAGTGTATCTGAAGTAAAAACGATCCTTGAATAAGTACATAGCTTTTGCCTAAAGCCATGGGTTTGACAGTATTTTCTGCTGTTTAAAAGAAAACCCATTTTCTTCGGAAGCATAATGCGTCATCAAGACTACTAGTCCCTGAAGAGCATCCAAACACTTAAAGATAAGTCTACTATATACCTTGGTAGAAGTAACAGGCACGGTTATTGATTGATTTATAAACATTATATATAATTCTACATACAAGCATACACACAGGTACACACTCACGCACGCACACACATACTTGCATACAGACAGACACAGACATATTATACATATAATATATATAATTATTTATATATTATTATATAATATTAGTACGCAATTATGTAAATGTCTATCATGACAGACACTAGACTTTGCCGTCGGCATTCGCGATATGAAGAAATGAAAAAGCAGCGGACGGGCATATCAGACTAAAATAATAAAGATCGGAACAAGAGACTAAAGTCTATCACTGGTACCCTAAAATAATCCTACAGCCGACGAGAGACAAACCAAGCAGCCTGATAAAAGTAACAACAACACCAAAAACAGCTCCAACTGCAACATCAGCACCTACAACAACAACAACAGCAATAACAACAACAACAAAACAACAACAGCAACATCAACGATGAGATAAACAAAAACAACATTCACAACACGATCGCAGCTACGGCATCAGGTAGTAATGAGATTGCTCGAAAATAAAACTGACAAACAGACAAGCCGTTTCGAATTACACAAATTGAAATCTGAAGTTACTGAATACCTCAACAGGTCGCTCATGGATCCAAGAGGAGTCACTAGATCTCACCATGTATTCGGGTTCCGTTTCTCTGTCTGGCTTCGTTTTGTTTTTTGTTTTATCTGTATTGTCTGAATCTCTAACCGTCTGTCCACCTATTTATCTATCTATCTATCCGATTCTGTCTATCTGATTCTGTCTATCAGCGTCTCTCTCTCTGTCTCTCTCTCTCTCTGTCTCTCTCTCTCTCTGTCTCTCTCTCTCTCTCTTTCTCACTCACTCTCTCGCCCTCTCTCTCACTCTTTCATTCTCTTTTTCTCTCACTCTGTCTGTCTGTCTGTCTGTCTGTCTGTCTGTCTGTCTGTCTGTCTGTCTGTCT